AAAAAAGCCTTCACAGTTCTGGAACAACATCCTATGGACAGATGAGACCGACATCAACTTGTACCAGAGTGATGGGAAGAGAAGAGTATGGAGAAGGAAAGGAACTGCTCATGATCCTAAGCATACCACCTCATCAGTGAAGCATGGTGGTGGTAGTGTCATGGCGTGGGCATGTATGGCTGCCAATGGAACTGGTTCTCTTGTATTTATTGATGATGTGACTGCTGACAAAAGCAGCCGGATGGATTCTGAAGTGTTTGGGGCAATATTATCTGCTCATATTCAGCCAAATGCTTCACAACTCATTGGACGCTTCACAGTGCAGATGGACAATGACCCAAAGCAGACTGCAAAAGCAACCAAAGAGTTTTTTAAGGGAAAGAAGTGGAATGTTATGCAATGGCCAAGTCAATCACCTGACCTGAATCCGATTGAGCATTTCACTTGCTGAAGACAAAACTGAAGGGAAAATGCCCCAAGAACAAGCAGGAACTGAAGACAGTTGCAGTAAAGGCCTGGCAGAGCATCACCAGGGATGAAACCCAGCGTCTGGTGATGTCTATGCGTTCCAGACTTCAGGCTGTAATTGACTGCAAAGGATTTGCAACCAAGTATTAAAAAGTGAAAGTTTGATTCATGATTATTATTCTGTCCCATTACTTTTGGTCCCTTAACAAGTGGGAGGCACATATGCAAACTGTTGTAATTCCTACACTGTTCACCTGATTTGGATGTAAATACCCTCAAATTAAAGCTGACAGTCTGCAGTTAAAGCACATCTTGTTCATTTCATTTCAAATCCATTGTGGTGGTGTATAGAGCCAAAAATGTTAGAATTGTGTCGATGTCCCAATATTTATGGACCTGACTGTATGGAGGCTGCCATTGGTGAACTTCTAAAGGACATGCTATTTGCCTGGGTGACTTGTTGTCATTAGACTTTCTGAAAGTCTTGTAGATGTGTGATAGCGCTGGATCATGGCAATGGAAATTCATTTTAAAGTATAGATGTATGTATAAGTTAGTTCTCTTTTAAGGAGATGAACTCTTGGTGGAAGTATGGTGTATGTGGATCTGGTTCTGGTTCTAGGCTGCTACCCCACGATGAATAAATTGCACATCAGAAGATCAATTTCTGGATGTGTGGTAAGGAGATGAACTCTTGGTGGAAGTATGGTGTATGTGGATCTGGTTCTGGTTCTGGTTCTAAGCTGCTACCCCACGATGAATAAATTGCACATCAGACGATCAATTTCTGGATGTGTGCTAAAGAGTACCTAGTACAAACATTCATCTCAATTGGTAATTCGTTCCATTAAACATCCACAGTTCAAAGGTTTGGAGATGAACTATAGATATTTATTGCATACTGTAATAGTAGGTATTATAAGAGATTATTTTATTCAATTTCAACAAACATTGAATTTATATAATCTTCTAAATTTTATATTTTTATTTTCATACATGTTTAGTCCTGAAGAAGGAGGCCCTTCCCTAACACACGTTGGCTATAGCTAGTGTTAATAACCCAGTAATTGTTGTCAAGATGATGACTAAGCCAATGTGAACCCTCTAGTTACATTGTAGGGGGTGGCCAATGAGTAGTGGAAGGCTTACCCCAAAAGTGTAACCCCCCCACAGCCAGTTCACAGTAGTGCAGGGTACCTAGGAGCAGTTTAGACCTGGGGGCTGAAACTGCAGAGGGGGGACCACACTGGAGCTTGCTGGAAGGGAAGGTCTTGGAAATTGTATCTGGATCACACTGGAAGAGATTGGGCCCAAGTGTTGGATTAGTACTGAAGTACGAGGGTGGGTCCACCTGAAAGCAGACAATGCAGGATCTTGGGGTTTACGAGCCAGCCAACATTCACCAGGGACCCCTCACAGAATTGTTAGGTCTTGCTGCATACTGACCTTGGGTCTCGACATCTGGGTTGTCCCTGCTTTTGGCACTACAGAACATGAGACAGAGGACACCAGGAACACATCAGTAGCCTGGGTAGGCAGCAGATATTATATACCAGGAATACACCAGAGGTTATGGCAGACAGCAGATAGGGATTACCAGGAATACACCAGGGTCAGGGCAGACAGCAGATACTGATTTCCAGAACCACACCACAGGTCAGGGTGGGCAGCAGACACTGATTTCTAGGAACACGCCAGATGTCAGGGCAGGCAGCAGACACAGAATACCAGAAAAACACAAGAGATTAAGGCAGGCAGCAGACACACATTGTGAAGCGAAAACAAACAAAAAGCGCACCAACCTTGCGCATTACCTCAGGAAACCAAAATTGTATTGAATACAGAATAATACTCACAAACAACAAAGTATTTCAAGGGTACAGCTGACACGTTTCAAAGGGCGTCCCTTGCAAGCTCTGATGAAGAAGGGATGCCGTTCGAAACCCTGAGTGATGGGACTCACACAGGCTTTACTATTCCATAGTTCCTCTGCGGACTTACATGCTTGAAATACTTCGTAGTTTGTGAGTATTATTCTGTATTCAATCAAATTTTGGTTTACTGAGGTAATGCGCAAGGTTGGTGCGCTTTTTGTTTGTTTTCGCTTCACAGTATTGGTCGTGCTTCCTCAGCCTTGTTTGGAGCTGCACAACCCCATATGCACAGGTGGTTGACTTTTTCAAGTTCTGGTTCCATCTATCCACCTTTTTTGGGTCTCAGAGCGCAGGAGAGTTCATTTCTAAGCAGACACATATTACCAGGTAAACGCTAATGTCAGGAATGGACTCAGCACTGGTGCTGGAACTCACTTGCCGTGTGGGCTGCAGTACCAGGGCTGACCAGCGGGTGCTCTCAGCAGCCAGAAGCTCACTCCTGCAGTCAGCCAACACCTGGGGCTGATTGCAGGAGGTGTATTTAAGGAATGGCCAGACCTGCAGTCAGTGCCTTGGTGTATGGGATAAAGATAAAGCGAGCGCTCAAGAATCAGCTGCTGAAACACTCTAAGGAATCACTGGACCTTGTAACAAGAATAATATATATATAGTGCAGAGCTGTGATACTAATATAAAATATATGTGAATAAAAGTTCATATAGTCCTTTACACAATAAAAGTGATCATGAACAAAGAACATGTGAAGGTCTCCTCATCGTTTAGTTGACTGGAAGATAGAAAAAATGCGCACTCACCGACCGCGCATTTTTTTAATGCGCATGTATGCAATATTATCCAGATGATCGGTCAGGTATGCAGATCAGCAAAACACATTGGTCATCCCCTTCAAATAACGACATCAGCCTTGGGTGCAGTGATATACCTCCAGGTCCAGAGAGCCCTCTTGCCCCAAGTGATAAGGTGGATTGAGATCCCTCTCCTGGTTGCAGGTACCCCAAGAATTGGCTGCTGCAAATCTGCCCCGAGCAGGCTGCCACTCTCTCCCCCTCCGGAGGCTCCAGCAAAGTCAGTCCGGCCAACCACCACCCCGCCCGGAGAGAGTCATGAGACTGCACCCGCCCACTCGAAGTGCCTTGGTGTATGTTTCCCATGAGCCCCTGTACCTGGTATCCTGTGTTCCTGCCTGTCTGCCTAGTTGCTGACCCTGCTTTGATCCTGACCTCTGCTGACCATCTCCTGTTGAACCCCTGGCTTGCCTGACCATCCTTCTGCCTGATCCTCTGTACCGCGCTGCCCGTGAGTTACTGAACCTGGCTTGTGACCCTGACTATTCTCTGCCTGCTCCTCAGGTACCTCACTGCCCGCACATTGCTGACCTGGCCTGCCTGACTACGCCTGACGCTACCCAGACGATCCATCCATCCCGCACGGATCCAGTTACTACTGTCCAAACCTGCCAGCCCCTTCACATCAGGCTTTCCCCCGGTACATACCCTCGGTGGACCCCTCTACCACAGTTGGGTGCACTCAGGGGCCGCGACCTGGTCTCAGTCCTGCGCCAAGTCCATCCCCACCATCAGGGGCTCTGGTGAAAAGGCAGACTGGGGCTTAGACTCCACGCCCTGGGGAATCCTGTTCTGTGGGTCACTGGAGATCCCGCTGGGCGGTGCCTGACAGTACCTTACGGCCCGCCTGACCATTCCACCTCTCCAGCCCTGACTACGCCTGTGTTCCTGAAGCCTGCTACTTCCCTGTGTCAGTCCACAGTCTGGTCCACCCGGATCCCTGACAGCTAGAGGTCAGAGCAGGCAGCAAAAACAGTGTACCATAAAACAAACCAGGGGTCGGTACATGGGAATCCATTGGTCGAGGAAGCAGACTAGAGAGCAGGAAGGTTTACCAGGAGCATGGCAGCTAGCTAATAATAGTATTGCTTGGGCAATGAGTTGAAATAGGCAGGGCAGTAGAAGGAAGCCACTCTGATTCACTGCTAGCTGACAAGGACAGAGGTCACCAGCTGGATTGATTGTAGCCAGTAAAAAGGAGGATGCCACTTTTATTGGCTGTGCCCCATCATAAGGAATGCGGGGGTCCCCCTGGACAGAGCCATGACTCATCAGGTAAAACCTGAAGGTGCGAAAGCCCACAAGCCAAGGAAGCCGAGTTGGCTTCCATGGCTGGACCATGGAAGGTAAGTGGTGGTGATAATATTTTATTCTAATTATCAAGAAAATGTTGTACTAGGTGTTCCTAACCGCACATCCAAAAATACTTTCTGAAGGAATGGATGCTACTTGATCACCAAGGCTTTTTGTAATACCACCTAATGGTGTGTGTGGAAAGATGTGGGGGGTAGTGGTGATGCTCAGTGGTTGAACATGAGGCTGGCAGATTCTGCAAATCAAAAGGATTCTGAGGGCACTTCTGAGTGTAACTGAAGAAAAAATGTGAGATTGAAGAGTCTCACCATAGAATTAAAGTCAAATCTTAACTCATTCTAATACAAGGTCGGGCAGAGACTGTATGAAAGGCCTATGTGTATAATTAGAAAAGTGTATGGTCATTCTAATGCTGACCCTTATAATTTTCTGCATTTTGCTGTGTTCATTTGACAATCATTATGTGTTCTGATTGTAGGCAGCGAGTTGTACAGCCCATCTTATGCCCAGAGCAACAGAGACAGCATCAACATAGAAAACCTTGCCCCCCCATACACTGGACCATTCTGCGGGAAAGCAAAGGTCCATACTGACTTCACACCCAGTCCATATGAGAAGGATTCCCTCAAACTCAGGGTAAGTTTTTAGAAATCAATTTGAAATTTTTTTACTGATATTATCATTTCTGAACCTGAACTGAACCTCTCCAAAACCGAGTTTCTTGTCTTCCCCCCCAGCCCGGACACCACCCCCCATTGACTTCTCCATCACATCCAACAACGCCACCATCAAACCCCCGCCCCGCAGGCCAGAGTACTTGGTGTCATTCTGGACTCCAACCTATCCTTCCAGCCCCAAGTCCAATCTTTAACAAACTCGTGCCGCCTCCACCTCCACAACATTGCCAAAATCCGCACGTTCCTAACCCCAGAAACCACTAAACAGCTCATCCGCTCCCTCATCATATCACGACTCGACTACTGCAACTCCCTCCTCACCGGCCTGCCTCGCCGCTGGCTCTCCCCGCTTCAGTCGATCCTGAATACGGCTGCCAGACTCATTCACCTTTCCAACCGCTCCATCTCCGCCACCCCCCTCTGCCAATCCCTCCACTGGCTTCCGATTGCGCAACGGATCAAATTCAAAATCCTAACACTGACGTACAAAGCCGTCCACCATACTGCCCCGAACTACATCACTGACCTAATATCCAAGTACCGCCCAACACGCACACTCCGCTCCTCACAAGACCTCCTTCTCTCTAGTTCCCTGGTCTCCACCTCCCATGCCCGCCTCCAGGACTTCTCCAGGGTGTCACCCATCCTCTGGAACTCCCTGCCCCAACCCATCAGATTATCACCTACTCTCCTCTCCTTTAGGTGCACCCTGAAAAACCCATCTCTTCAGGGAAGCCTACCCCACCCCCTGCTAACTTGCCGACCTCCTCCACTCTTCCTACCACACTCCATCCCCCACAGCTATCTCCTCCTGTGCCACCATCCCCTCCCTCCTAGATTGTAAGCTTGAAAGAGCAGGGCCCTCAATCCCCTCATGTTTTGCATTGTATTGGTATTGTTCTGTCACATGTTCTGTCCCCTCTGTAATGTACAGCGCTGAGCGAACTATTGGCGCTTTATAAATACTGTATAATAATAATAATAATTTCCACACAAATCTCGAAAGTGGGGAAGAAAAAAACCTTTTGGAAGGTCTTCAATCAGAGTTCTACAAGTTGTGAAAACTAGACTTGAAGGCCTTTTGTTGATCATTGATGTCAGTAAGATACCCTAGCATTTATAGCCACACGGGTTAGACAGTCCCAATACTCCAATCACCATGGAATGTGTTAAGGCAGAAGCTGATTGTCCAAGAAGCAGTTGGGAGGTGTAGAAGCTGTGGAACCAATTACACAATTCTATCAATTGGTGGCAGGAAGGCTGCAACATGTGCTAACCCTTTGATTTACATATCAAAAGATAAGGTGAGTTGCCTATGAGTTCCAGGCTGCTCTCTCCCTACAGAGTCAAAGAAGAAAAAATATGTCCCCTGGGGCTTTGTTGCAGCCAAAAGGATAACAACCATAAGAAATATAAATAAAAAAATCAAATTTTATTATGCAAATTATAAAAAATGGATAAAACTTTGGTCTTTATACATGCAAATTTAATGCCTTTCACAGCAATGTGCATTTACACTCACCGGCTCACGTTGGACCCCCTTTTGTCTTCAGAACTGCTTTAATTCTTCGTGGCATAGATTCAACAAGGTGTACAAAACATTCCTCAGAGATTTTGGTCCATTTTGACATGAGTTACTGTTGCCTATCATCTCAAACCGGTCTGCCCGTTCTCCTCTGACCTCTGACACCAACAAGGCATTTTCCACCACACAACTGCAGCTCACTGGACATTTTTTCTCTTTTTCGGACCATTCTCGGTAAACCCCAGAGATGGTTGTGCATGAAAATCCTAGTAGATCAGCAGTTTTTGAAATATTCAAACCAGTCCGTCTGGCACCAACAACCATGCCACATTCAAAGTAACTTAAATCCCCTTTCTTCCCCATTCTGATGCTCGGTTTGAGCTTTAGCAAGTCGTCTTTACCACATCTAGATGCCTAAATGCACTGAGTTGCTGCCATGTGATTGGTTGATTAGCAATTTGTGTTAGCAAGCAATTGAACAGGTGGACCTAATAAAGATGTCTCAGGGTTCTTTTCCCAACAATTGCCCCGTGGCCAGGCTCACAATTCCGGTCAATCTTCAGATTCATTAACCAGTCTAGGGGTATGCTTTCTTGGATGCTTTAATGAAACTTGAAAATGGATAGGTAGTGGTTAATTGTGGGATACTCCAGTAGCCTTTAGTAGCAATTTGAGGACACTAAACTTTCTCCTTTAGAATTGTGAGCCAAGTCCTAGTACGTGATGGACTGATATCTGTAGTCGCAACTGGAGAGATTAATCTTCCCCACGGAAATCCAAATTCACTAAGAATTACGTAGACTGAGTTCTTCAGACACCTGACACAATGCCCTTTTAACCACTTCCAGTCCGGACTTCCAGTCCGGACACTTTCACCCCCTTCCAGTCCGGACACTTTCCCCCCCTTCCAGTCCGGACACTTTCACCCCCTTCCAGTCCGGACACTTTCACCCCCTTCCAGTCCGGACACTTTCACCCCCTTCCAGTCCGGACACTTTTTCCAGTCCGGACACTTTCCCCCCCTTCCAGTCCGGACACTTTTTCCACCGGACACTTTGCCCCCCTTCCAGACACTTTGCCCCCCTTCCCGGACACTTTCCGGACACTTTCACCCCCTTCCAGTCCGGACACCAGTCCGGACACTTTTTTCCGGACACTTTCACCCCCTTCCAGTCCGGACACTTTCACCCCCTTTCCGGACACTTTCACCCCCTTCCAGTCCGGACAAGTCCGGACACTTTCACACCCCCTTCCAGTCCGGACACTTTCACCCCCTTCCAGTCCCGACACTTTCACCCCCTTCCAGTCCCGACACTTTCACCCCCTTCCAGTCCCGACACTTTCACCCCCTTCCAGTCCCAGACACTTTCACCCCCTTCCAGACCGAACACTTTTACCCCCTTCCTGACCAGGACAATTTTCAGCTTTCAGCGCTATCACACATTGAATGACAATTGCGCAGTCATGCAACACCGTGCCCAAATTAATTTTTAACCATTTTTTTAAGACAGATAAAGCTTTATTTTGGTGGTATTTATTCACCGCTGGGATTTTATTTTTTTTGCTATGTAAATGAAAATGTCCAAAAATTTTGAGAAAATTTTTTTTTTATAAAATTTTGCAAATAAATAATATTTCATCATAAATCTTGGCCAAAATTTATTCCGTTATCTTTTTAGTAAAAAAAAAATCCAAATTAGTTTATAACCAAAAATTATAATTTTTTAAACATTTTTTTTTTTTACATTTTTTTTATATTATTATTTTTATTTTTTATTTATTTTTTTTTACATACTGTCACCCTAGCAGTACAGTGTCACCATGGTGACACTGTACTACTTGTGGGGGGTGATGAAATTTTTTTTTTTTTTACAGTGATTGCTTTTATACCCATATAGGATGTAAAAGCAATCATTTTTCTCTTTCTCTCTGTCTGCATTCTTGCACTCATTGAGAAGTACTGAGTGAGCTGTGATTGGTCACAGCTTGTCACATGGTACAAGGCTGTTGTGAATAGCCTTGTACCATGTGATCTCTGTGATCATTCACAGATTTCACACGTAGTAAGCAATGATGTCACAAGTGACATCTTGCTTACTACTTTGCATGTGATCACTGATTGGCCAATCAGTGATCACATGATCGGGACCTCGTACAGAGGTTCCGTCCGACGATCGGTGTTTCACTGTGTCCGGAGGATCGCGCACAAGCAGGTGTGCGCGGGGGAGCGCGCACAAGTTTATAAACGGCCACCCGACCCTGCAGTGCCACCGTCCGACCGATTATATGCAACGGCCAGTCGGGAAGTGGTTAAACATGCTGACTCTTGCAGGAGGGATGGCAGCAGCACACAGTCTCTAGGATCTCTCACACCGGTCTGTACTCACTAATGTCCTTGGATAACTGGTTACCTCCTTCCAATATCTTCCAGACACTTTCTCCCAGTGTTACCAGACTAGATCCTCACATGACACCCCTCAGTCACCTTAAGCAAACTCTCAGCAAAGTAGGCCTCCAGCTAGCCCAACTGAGGTCTCAGTGAGCCGCAGACACATAGCAGAATTGCCTAGGGGGCACACAACTTCCCTAGGTTGTGATCTCCTCCTAAGGAGAAATGACCCCCCCGGCTCTCAGTCACAGGGTATTTATACTCCATCCCAGCCACCATTTGGGTACCTCTTTCCAGGGATTGGCCAGGGCTGCATAAATATCCAACTGCTCACTATCTTCCAGAACATTTCTGGACAAACGGGGAATCACTTAACCCTGCAGCCATTGAAACACAGTACAGACCAGAACAATCAAACACAGCTACACAGATTACAGTGAGCCAGAACTATATTTAACAAATCTGATCTAGGAAGGTGCTACATACAGAACTTTGCATTCCTCACTACTCGGCTTTTGAATGCTAAATATTCCCCCCATGGTCTGATAATATGGTGCATTTATTTTGATTAAATTCCCAGTGTAGCTTACACATCCCAAAAAAAAGCATAGATCCACCACCATGCTTCACACTAGGGTTGGTGTGCTTACCAACATTGAAGTGTTTGTAAGGGCAATTTTTTTAAAATTGAAATACTTAACATGTTATACTCACCTGCTCTGTACAATGGTACTGCACAGAGCAGCCCCGAACCTCCTCTTTTGGACTCCCCCACTGGCAATCTTGGCTTCTTTTCCTCTGGGTCTGCCCCCCCTAGCAAGCACTTGCTATGGGGCCAGACCAGGGGCGGACTGACCATTTAGAAACTCTGGCACTGCCCGAGGGCCCAGGGTCAGTAGGGGGCCCCATGAGATGCCCCTGGTACCTTTTTCATAGGCTTTTTTGAGTTTGGGCAAGGACACAGGGCCCCATGATCCCCTATTCCCCGGGGGCCCCATGAGTTGTCAGTCCGCCCCTGGGCCAGATGTACGGGCTCAATTTGGAGCCAGACTGTGTGCATCCTTTAACACACACTGTGCAGATCGGCCCCACCCCCCTCACAGGATTTAAATGACAGCAGTAGGGGCTAATGGCTCCCACTGTTCTCAGCCAAGCTTGTGAGAGGAGAAAAGAACTGAATCTGGGCACAGCGCTGGATTGATACAGGACTCAGGTAATTATTAGGGGGGATTGGACTCAAATTTTTGAATCTATGAGAAATGATATCAACATCCCGACCAGCGTAGACAATACACTAAAAAAATTGTTTAGCCAAGTGGGATTTTTAAACAGGACCATACAAAGTGTAATGACAATTTAGTAGAAATAATAAAAATTTTATTATTCAAAAAATGCCATACATAGATAAAATACACAGTATATATATTAATGTTCCCTTCCTGGCTCGTAAAGAACGCTCTCTGAATAGCATTGCAGACCCTAGTCACCACAATCATGGTAAATCAGTATCGGTTATCAGAGAGGTGGAGTCCTTCATGAGCCAAAATTGTCAACACATTTCGTTGATTACACAACTTCTTCAGAAGTAGGAAGTAGATGAGTAATAAATTATTGTATCAAGGTGAGATGCCCAGGTCTTGGACCTGAGGTATGCAGGCAACCACCAACACCCCAAAATAAGGAAATAATCCGTTCCTACACATGTGGAGGACCCAGCAGAGACCAAAGAAGGTGCAGATAGTGGATGTCTTCAGAAAAGATGGTAAGAACGCATCCATAGATAGATACAGAGATATATATCTTCTGATGGATAGGCCAACTTGCCCCTACAGACTTTCAGAGGTGACTCCACTGAACCCCCTATAATCCTTTAATGCGATGCTCCGTCACATCCAACAACGCCACCATCAAACCCGCCCCGCGCAGGTTTCAGTCATTCTGGACTCCAACCTATCCTTCTAGCCCCAAGTCCAATCTTTAACAAACTCGTGCAGACTCCACCTCCGCAACATCGCCAAAATCCGCACGTTCCTAACCCCAGAAACCACTAAACAGCTCATCCACTCCCCCTCATCATATTACGACTCGACTACTGCAACTCCCTCCTCACTGGCCTGCCTCGCCGCTGGCTATCCCCGCTTCAGTCCATCCGGAATACGGCTGCCAGACTCATTCACCTTTCCAACCGCTCCATCTCCGCCACCCACCTCTGCCAATCCCTCCACTGGCTTCCGATTGCGCAACGGATCAAATTCAAAATCCTAACACTGATGTACAAAGCTGTCCACCATACTGCCCCGAACTACATCACTGTCCTAATATCCAAGTACCACCCAACACGCACACTCCGCTCCTCACAAGACCTCCTTCTCTCTAGTTCCCTGGTCTCCACCTCCCATGCCCGCCTCCAGGACTTCTCCAGGGTGTCACCCATCCTCTGGAACTCCCTGCCCCAACCCATCAGATTATCACCTACTCTCCTCTCCTTTAGGTGCACCCTGAAAACCCATCTCTTCAGGGAAGCCTACCCCACCCCCTCCTAACCTGCCGACCTCCTCCACTCTTCCTACCACTCCATCCCCCACAGCTATCTCCTCCTGTACCACCATCCCCTCCCTCCTAGAAAGCTCGAAAGAGCAGGGCCCTCAATCCCCTCATGTTTTGCATTGTATTGGTATTGTTCTGTCACATGTTCTGTCCCCCTTTGTAATGTACAGCGCTGAGCGAACTATTGGCGTTTTATAAATACTGTATAATAATAATAATAATAATAATAATATCACTTGGCCATCCGTTAGGACAGATGGATGCCATAGCAGATGGCATTCACCACACATCTATTGGATCATCGCATTAGAGGATTATAAAGAGTTCATTGACGTCACTTCCGGAGGTCTGCAGGGGCAAGTTGACTCATCCATTGGCAGATATACAGTATATCTCTCTACTTATGTGTGCATTCTTATGGATCAGTGTTTCTCAACCTCCTTACAGTCAAGGCACCCTTTAAAATTATGGACAGTCCCGAGGCACCCCATTCTAAAATGTGAAAAACTATTCTAGCAACATCTACACATGTAGGACACCTAACATTAGAGGTGATTTATTCTTCCAAAGCAAACACACCTTTGCACACTGGTACTGACTAGTGTTCCAGTGTTTCTCTTCTCCCTCAGTTTTTATCCATTACTGAGCTAATGTGACTCCAGCACTGATGGAGAGGGGCAGGGGGGGGTCAAACTAGGATGCTGTGCAAGCAACTGACATCCTCCTTATCAACTGATGTCATTTGTTGTAAAGGACGCCGGTGGCTATAAGGTCATAATGGTGCACAATGAAAACCTGTGGCTTAGTGTAATGAAAAGGAAGGTTTGTTCCACCTGCTGGCTTGTATATATAAGTTTTGGTCAATTTTTAAACATTTTGACAAGGCACCCCTGAAGAACCTTCAAGGCACCCCAGGGTGCCTGGGCACCCTGGTTGAGAAAGGCTGTTATGGATAATATACAGTAACTGTAGGAGCTAGAACACAAAAAGGTGGGTAGCAACAGAGCTGGGCAGAGAGATTATGGTGTGGAGATCTCACTTTTGGAGTTTCCAAAGCATGTCAGAAGCCCATGTCCACCAGGCTCCACCTATCTCTAAAGTATCACTTTTAGATGGACTGATCCTGTAACTCAAAATAGTTTTCTTGAACCTCTGAAGATTCCCATTTTCTGTTTGCTTTCAGGTAGGAGACATCATCAACATCATCGAGAAACCTCCAGTCGGAACCTGGACGGGCATGTTGAATAACAAGGTGGGGTCATTCAAGTTCATCTACGTAGAAATCCTACCCCAGGAAACAGAGACCCCCAAAAAAGTCCGGACACATCGGAGGAGCAAAAAATCACAACCCAAGACACTGAAGGAGCTGCTTGATCGTATCAACATGCAGGTTAGACCTTACCCTTTATTTATCGATATATTCTGATTAAAGAGCACCTTTTTCACAGTTTTAGAAGGAAAAGGTTATGGAAGGTACAGTAGATACGTTGTTTCTTTTATCTAGTTATGAAAGTTTTAATGTAATCTGGAGTTATAGCGCTCATCCATCAATAGTTAAGCCCCTCCCATGCCTAAATGAGTTAAAAAATTTTAACCACCCGCTTGTTTCCAGGAACACATCGCCACCCTCATGCTGAATGGTTATCAGACAATAGAGGACTTTAAGGACCTGACTGAGAGCCATCTGCTGGAATTGAACATCACAGACCCTCAACACACTGTTAAACTGCTGACCGCTGCTGAAGTCCTGCTGGATTATGACAGTAAGTAACTGCTCAGTTCCTCACTCATACAGATAAACTCACTGTCACTCATCTGGAACTTCTCCCTACTCTTGCACCTGTGCTTTTCCTAACCGACGGGGTTCTATACCTACCTACTGCCTCACTGCAGGCACGCCAAATTATGTTGACCCCAATATTTAGAGGGCCGTCTAGATCTCGTGGTACTTCAATATCCACTAGGATCACTGACCTCCCCAAGATGGTCACCTGGAGCCAAACTAGGAGACATTTTCTCTCTGTTGGGCTTCTGTCAATCCAAAGAAACTGCATGGTGCCACCTTCAGGTTGGAGGAAGTACCCCAAACTACCCCTATCTACAAGCTGAACTTCCAATAAGTGGTTAAATACACCACTAAAATGAATACATGCTGACTGCTTCACCTAAAAAATTTAAAATTGTGATTCTGTCCAGCTGTTTTTTGGGTTCCTCCCAACCCTACTGCACTTCATAGCCAGGATGGTGGAACCATTTTCCTTGTCACAATTAAAGTGACTCTTTAAGGAGCTGAAAGCAAGTAAATGCATCCGATGCTGGGGTCCCTGTTTCCATGATGCACCACTGGATGCCCCCCTCAAAAATATTATACAAATAAAGCCTTTCTAAAGGGCTAGAAACCCACCCGTGGCATAGCACTAGGACCTGGAGAATTGTCCCATGAACACGTAGCACTGCATTGTGGGAAATGATAGGGGGTTGTACACGTAATATACTGTATATGTCTCATACCTAAATGTTTGGGTTTTTCATGGGATCCACCTCAGCCAGTGATTGGACAGCGAAGGGTCAGCGGTACACTGATAAGGCCAACTCTCTACCCTCTTGTTCATAGCATTGGATGCTAAGCCCTCACTCTGATCCTCTATTGGACATCCATCATGTAGCCTTCATCTGACATTATATTACTTTATCCACTTGGTGGCTCTGTGCACACTAGCTTTAAAAAAAAAAAAAAAAAACGCTCCAAGCAGCAGCTTTTTTTTTCTGTCTCTAGAAGCAAATAGTGTTTGAACCCTCCAAAACTCTGCTAACTGTTGCTAAGAGCTGCCAGTTTCCAGCATTATTTTACCTTTCTCTTAATGGGGGGCTGCCAGCATCCCTAACAACCAGTGAATAGCTGGTTGTTAAGGAGCAGGCTGGCAAGCTGGCCACCATGTCCTTAACAACAAATGGCTCATCAGCTGTCAGTTAGTGCAACACCCCCCCAACCGCCTCCTGAACCATATCAGGCCACATGCCCTCAACATGTGGGGAATGATTTGGTGTAGGGGGGCCTTTTCCCCACAACCCTAGGTGGTGGTTGTTGGGGTCTGTGGGCAGGTGGGATTTTCAGAGTTTTAAAGCCCCTTTTAACAAGGGGGGGCCGCAGATCCTACCCCTCCCCATGTGAATGAGTATAGGGTACCCCTTCACCAAAAAAAGCATCGGTGAAAGGGCGAGCAAAGTCGACACTCTTGATGAGTGCCTGTCACAGGTCCAACGTTTGTAATAACCCACGATGCACCAAAAAATTACGGCTGTGGGGGTATGCACGGGGGGAAGGGAGGCTAGGGGTCAGAGGACTTTGGACTTCAACTAACAGACCAACCAGCAGCACAAGGGGCCCTTTTCATTGTGTGTGCAGATCTTCAACGACCAGAGGCGGGCTGACCATTTGGAAACCGAGGGCCCGGGGTCAGTAGGGGGCCCCATGAGATTCCCCTGGTACCTTTTTCATAGGCTTTTTTGAGTTTGGGCAAGGATACAGGGGCCCCATGATCCCCTATTGCCCGGGGGCCCCATGATTTGTCAGTCTGCCCCTGTCAACGACCATGCACACAAAGCATTAGGCGGCATTGGGTGTGCAGTAACCAGATTTTACCTGACGGGAGTAGGACAAAAAAAAAAACTTGCCCATCATGAAAGGTTGAAGCTAATGAATGATTTCACGATTGCTATGTTGCAGCCACCAGCGAATCAGAAGAGGTGACCGGGACATCTTTAGCAGATCAAAATGCTCACCTTCCCCGAGACTCGGGCTGCTACGAGGGACCTGAGAATCTTGAAAGCAGCCGTGACGAGTCTGACGGCCCCGAGGAGAGCTTGCAGAAACTGTCCTTAGATGACGGTGAAGTGACCACTCAGGAAGGATGACTTCTTATTTTTTTTTAGAATTGACGACACAAATGAAAACACCATCACTTTAAGTCGAACAATATTGCAGGATAGAACAAAAAAAAAAAAAAAAAACCCTGAAAAATCTCGACCCTTTCATTCTGGAGGTTGTATATGGAAAGTGCTGGACATTTTTTTGAAACAAAATAACAAGTATTACTTTATTTACTACTTTGTTTTTACATTTTGTTAGTTTTTTTTATCATTTTTGTTTTCTGCAATTCTTACTTTGAGGTTGTTGCTATAGATTGTGGTTATTACATTTTATCAAACAGAATTACAAATATTAGAGTGGACCATTTAATGGCAATATGCAATTTTTTTCACGAATGGAGATGGCAAATGCAGCGAATGACCATGTGGTCCACAGTCCTCTCATTATACCTCTTCTAGACTGTTTTTTTAGGAGTCAAGGAAAGGGTTTTGGATTAGAATACTCATCAGGTTTTCATTGCCATCTGTGTCCCTGTTAAGGAGATTCATCCTCTTTATCTGTCCTGGAGACCTGTAAAGTGAAAGAAAATCCCAAATTTGGGGTTGTTACCAAAAAAGGAATAGAGGGGAAATCCCCTCGTAACAAGCAGGAATTCCCTAACTTTGGAGGGATTTCCTCTCACTTCTTATTTTGGCTATGGGACGGGAAGTGAAGAGTGAAATCTCCCCAAATAAAAAAAACTGACAGAGGTTATCAGGACCGGGACCAGGGGCGGACTGACCATTTGCGCATTTGGGCCCAGGGTCAGTAGGGGGCCCCATGAGATGCCCCTAGTACATTTCATAGGCTTTTTTGGGTGTGGTTTGAGTGTGGGCGAGGACACAGGGGCCCCATGATCCCCTACTGCCCGGGGGCCCCATGAGTTGTCAGTCCGCCCCTGACTGGGACAGGTTCAGCCAGCCCCCAGAGCAAAGATTTAGAACTGTGCCCCCTCCACCACTGCTAATGCATGTTGTAGAATGGGTGTACCACCCTGCATTCATTCTCTGCCCCCTTGCTCTGCTGTGCTCAGGGCAGCTGCCCTCTGACCCACCCCTTGTCCCGGGCCGTGGGGGTTATAACCTTCATATACTCTATCCAAAATAAAGAAAGTTTTGCCTTTAGTTCTACTTCTGTATATAACCATTTTCCTTGTTCTCTGTGTTGTTTGTTCAGCTATATTTGGTTGGTTATGATTCTAAATATCTCTCTGTTCTATTGGAATTAGTAGCAATGTAATCTACAGCAATTGGTACAAAAGAACAAAAAAAATTGCAACAAATAAAAGATTGTAGCAAAAACAAAGAAAGAACATGTTTTAGGAATGGTCATAAAGAGTCAATGGTCACGTCAACAGTATGTCTAGGCGGGGACTTTTCCATTGCTCTTCAGTTGGTGGTATTGGTTCATGGATCTCTTATTAGTTATGTGAAATGGAAATGTGAAGATGGAACTTAAAATTGCCAGCTCTATCGTTTTATTCCTTTAAAGACGTCCGCAAAAGCAAGGGTCTCCAGACTTTCTAAACAAAGGGCCAGTTTACTGTCCTTCAGACTTTAGGGGGGACAGACTGTGGCCGGTGGGAATAGAAAAGGTCCCAACGTCAGTTGGAAAAAACAATGCTCTTTGGTGTTAGTGGGAGACATTGTGTTTCATAGTTGGTGTCATTGGGAAGAATTGTGCCTCATCATTTGTGTAATTGGGCCCCATTGTTTGTGTCATTTGGGAGGAATTGTGCCCCATCATTGGAATCATTGGCAGGAATTGTACCCCATTGTTGGTGTCATTGGGGGAAATTGGGCCTCTTTATTGGTGTCATTTGGGAGGAATTGTGCCCCATCATTGGAATCATTGGCAGGAATTGTACCCCATTGTTGGTGTAATTGGGAGGAATTGTGTCCCATTGTTGGTGTCATTTGAGGAATTGTGCCCCATCGTTGGTGTTATTGGGAGGGACTGTGCCCCATCATTGGAATCATTGGCAGGAATTGTACCCCATTGTTGGTGTCATTGGGGGAAATTGGGCCTCTTTATTGGTGTCATTTGGGAGGAATTGTGCCCCATCATTGGAATCATTGGCAGGAATTGTACCCCATTGTTGGTGTCATTGGGAGGAATTGTGTCCCATTGTTGGTGTCATTTGAGGAATTGTGCCCCATCGTTGGTGTTATTGGGAGGAATTGTGCCCCATCGTTGGCGTCATTGGGAGGAATTGTGCCTCAATTGTTGGTGTTATTGGGAGGAACTTTGCCCCTTCATTGGTGTCAGTGGGGGGAATTGTTGGTATTAGTGGATTAAACAGTGCCCCAAGAGCTGGATAAAAGCTAGCAAAGGACCGCATCTGCTCCTGGACTGCAATTTGGAGACCAGTGCTCTATAGGAAAATGAAAAATGTAATACTTTCCTTTCCATAATTTTTCTTTCCTGGTTGCAATCTATGGCATCAACAATAATATGGTTGGTTGCTCCGGTCACATGGGTAGGCAGCCAGGTAGGCACGAGGAAAGTCTCCAAGAGCTCCTTTAGTTCTACTAAAGCTTTTGTTCTGATTTACGTTGGATAGAGTAAGAGGAAGGGTTAGATCCTCCAATTATTGCTGACCCATGTACATGACTACTTGTCACCCAAACTCTTCCTCAGGCTACTTAAAGCTGAACTTCAGTCATACAGGTTCCTCTCCTGAATTAATATTGCTTACTCTTCTTTCACTGCTAACTGTGGGCTTCTTACAGTGTGTATTGGAAGGTCCAGCAAGCCTGCCCTATCTTCCTGGCTCCCCATTGTGACTGTCCATAGCTCGCCCCTTTCACTCATTTAATTGGTTTTTATGTCATGGGAAATCAGCATCACATGTGGCCATTATCTATGCAAAACATAGCCTGCCTAGGACCGCCCACTCCTCCAGACTGACATCCACCCATCAAAGCATTTTTATATTTGCATAACTCCTTCCAAGAGCCTACCCACCGCTTGCATCAGGACTGAGGACTCTTGAGAGGAGTACTGAGGCTGGGTGCTGTACAGCACCCTGCTGGCTCCTCCCACCAGCTTTGATCTGCCTGCATTGCACAGATAATCATAGAGACCCCGTGATGAAATAACTGGGTCTAAAATAAGGCATGAAATTGGAATAAAACAAAAACATAGTTGCAGTTTTGAAGCAAGACCAACAAGCAAGATAGTCTGAACATTTTAAAAGGTGGTCTCCAAAGCTGGAAAAATTGCACACACAGCTGGACTGGATGTCCTCCAATAGTATACCACCATTAGAACTATAGCCAGGGACACTGTTAGAAACCACGAGGCTCCATACTGCCTACCTGACAGAGATTGCCCCCCCAAAATATATCAAAATGGCGGTGTGGTGCATTTACTGGAACAGATCCCCTGTAGTTCCTCCCTGCAGCAGTGGGAGTGGAGGAGAAGTCAGATTTCAGCTGCTGCAAAGGGGAACTGCAGGGTGGTTGTTCCGGTGTGTGCCACCCCGCCACTCAATCACCTCCCTCTTGTCCAGGTTCCCCTTCCTTCTGCTTGTCAGCTGGCCAGGCCCCCCTCCCCCATACCGGAGGACCAGTGGTACCCCCTTATCAGTGGCCCTGACTATAGCTCATAGGGGCATGCTCATCGGGACATGTCAGTCCTAGATTTTTGTCCCCGATTGTTTCATTGGCTACCAGGTAGCAAGACTCTCAACTAATCTAATAGCTCCTAACTAGCAAAGCAAAGATGGGTTCATTCAAGGGATTACTGTGACTGACTCTTTCAATCAAGCAATGTAAAAATCAAATCCGCAGATGGAAACTCTAATTCCCGAAAATCCAAGGAAAATGTTTCTATAGAGCAGTGCAGTTTTGTTTTTTTAATTTAAGTGTCATATGCCCTCATCTCGATGATAAATGACCACCATAGAACTCTGAACTCAGCGGTGGGAACACATGACACAGGTAGGCTAGACTGGGATCATAGTGAAGTTGGGCAAAGCATTAAGAAATGTTCTTTATCGGGTACAAATGGTAACCATTACATTTTAGATTTACCCTCCACCACACTCCAATATCCTCCACTTAATTTCTTAGTCACATCACCCTCCAGAGGTCCTCTCACCGACGCGTTTCACCCTCTATTGGGCTTACTTTATGGGAAGATATCAGAGAGCAGTGCATATTTTTTTTATTTATTTTTTTTTTGGGGGGGGGGGGGGAGGGAGTATATTAGCTGTTGAGAAGGAACCTGTACAGATCTGCCACTTGAAAGTTGAGAGATGATATATCAGAGACCTAGAACTGAGCACTATTAGATTTAAATCAGGTTTTCTCAACTAGGGTTCCTCCAAAGGCTGCTAGTGGTTACTTAAGCAATCTCTTCCTCTCAGGTAAGTTCCCACCATAGTCTTTTTAGTAATCTGTAAAGGGGGTAATTATTCCCAATGACCACAAGTGTAAGGAGCATTCTTCCCAATGATCACCAGTCTAAGGAGCATTCTTCCCAATGACCACCAGTCTAAGGAGCATTCTTCCCAATGACCACAAGCGTAAGGAGCATTCCTCCCACTGACCACAAGCGTAAGGAGCATTCCTCCCACTGACCACAAGCGTAAGGAGCATTCCTCCCACTGACCACAAGCGTAAGGAGCATTCTTCCCACTGACCACCAGTCTAAGGAGCATTCTTCTCAATGACCACAAGCGTAAGGAGCATTCCTCCCAATGACCACAAGCGTAAGGAGCATTCTTTCCAATGACCACCAGTCTAAGGAGCATTCTTCCCAATGACCACAAGTGTAAGGGGCATTCTTCCCAATGACCACCAGTCTAAGGAGCATTCTCTCCAATGACCACCAGTCTAAGGATCATTCTTCCCAATGACCACCAGTGTAAGGAGCATTCTTCCCAATGACCACAAGCGTAAGGAGCATTCCTCCCACTGACCACAAGCGTAAGGAGCATTCCTCCCAATGACCACAAGCGTAAGGAGCATTCTTCCCAATGATCACCAGTCTAAGGAGC